GTCTACAAAGGCTAAAATCCCAAAGTTCCCTCCAGAGGGAGTTTCCACACGCTCATGTGTTTACTTCCAGAACAAAGTGACCTCACTATGTAACACTTTTGTGCAATTGGCTGGCGCTCCATACGTGATAGGCTAAGGGGCGGAACATTTAGGACACATCTCTCAGCAGTTGACCAATCACAACAGAGCCGGCCAGCTAACCAATCAGAGCAGACTGGGCTCTGGTTTCAGACAGAGGGTGAAAAGAGGTGCTGCAGCACAGGCAGTATGAGAAAATGTCACAGCAGAGGCAAAAAATACAAATATGAACCTGAAAATGAGCATAATATTTCCGCTTTTATTCTTTTTTTAAACAATTTAAGGAGGGTTTTCATTTGCATTTATGTCTATTCTCTTAACCCATAATAATAATAATAATAATAATAATAATAATAATAATAATAATAATAATAATAATAATAATAATAATAATAATAATAATAATAAGGGTTTACTATATCTGACACTTCCCTTAACAGATCTTTATGAATCAAAACCTGAACAGTTCTGATATTAAACCAGATCCTGCCAAAACTGAAGTGACTGAACAAGAAAAAAATATATACTCAACTGTTTCAGATGCTTTAAGCAAGAATCCACAATGATCTCCAAATGAAACCTTTTTAGTGAGGTTTCGGAAGCTATAAAAACGTTTAATTTGAATATTTAGGTGAAATTAGCCATTTAAAGTTATGACTCTTATTTGCATTGTTCTGTCTTTTCAAACTGAATAGCATTATCATACTGGAGTCGTTGACTAGAACACTCTCCAGTCACTGAAGCAAGAATCAATGCAGCACCATTAGCCTTCTTTTCGAGTGATCAAACCCAACCCCCCCCCCCCCACACCCCACCAACACCTCCTCTTCCCCTCTCCCAGGCCTATAATTACCTTTATCAGTTAACAGGACTAATTTATTTTGTCATGCCCCAGTAAATACTTAACGCAAATAATATTATTCAAACTCTGGTCGGTGGGAGCGCTTCATTTGCACGCCTGGGTGCTTCATTATCAGCGCCGGGGGAGATGCTGCGATGCGTTGTGGGAGTGGGATGGCAGGATTACTGGAGTGAAAAAATCTTGGGCAGCCTTCTTTGGATAAACCACCTTATTCCCCCTCCCCAGAGGCAGCAATCAATAGGTTAGTGCAGGTCTCTGCACACAAACTGCTCTCAGTCCCACTGCTGCAGATAGTGGGTGTCTTAGAAACAAACTCTGAGCTCTGCAGGGTTTAAAGCTTTAATGAGATCCAATTACAACCCAGGGAGCAGATTACTGTGTCTTAATATTCCTGCAACAGAGGCTGCTGGTAAAAAAGTACAATTTTTTTTAAATATCGAAGAATTAAAATACTATCTTTAGGAGCACATATCACGCTAATCAGAAATGGCAATCCTTCATTTAATTTATTTCAGGTTTTGATTTAAATGGATCAATGAAGGTGTCAGATATGGCACCCCTAATTATCATTAAACGTATATACTTAAATGGAAAAACACTCCTTAAAATGTTATAAAATATTAAAGAGGAAATATTATGGTTATTTTCAGGTTCATATCAGTATGTAGTGTCTCTACTGTGACATGTCTCCATGCTTTAATGTTCAAAAAGCTCTTTATTTTTCTCATACTGCCTGTGCTGCAGCACCTCTTTTCACCCTCTGTCTGAAACCAGAGCCCAGTCTGCTGTGATTGGTTAGCTGGCCGGCTTTGTTGTGATTGGTCAACCGTTTAGAGACACCCCGTCCCTTATCATATCACCTACAAGTGTTGGAGCGAAACCAAAGCAACAGCAAAGAAAAAAGAAAGAGAAACATTTAATATAATTCCATCTTATTGGAACAAAGTGCTTGTTCAGTGTTCGGACTCCAAAACATGTTTTTTAGTAGAGTATTAAGTACATCGATTATTTATTTATATACCGGCAACAAAACCAAGATGTAAAACTCAATATTTGCCTTTTGACCTTAGTGGAGTATAAGTATACACTTGTATCGCCCTAGGTATTGTCTCCCACGGATCATCCTCCCCTCTACAGCTGTCAGCTTGAGCGGTGACAAGCTAAAGTTTGAGGGCAGGCATCCTCCAGTTAGTGCTCTTGGTAAAAAAACGAATGAAAAGTGAAACAAATGGATAGTGGCACAAATTGGTAATAAAAGGCATTATGGACATGCTTCTGTCATACTACGCAGGTAAGAGCAGTCATACTACACAGGATAACTTTTAAACAGTGGATTTTCTTGAACTTAAGTGTTAATTCTTTCTATAATTCTTATAAGGCTCTCTGCGTTATCTTGGCTCGATCTGAACTTACCATGCCCCATCCAGTCGGAGTGGGTTTAGAGGGAGCTGTTCTCCCACAGGATTGTGTGAGACATGGGTGGATGCTCCTTCCAGAAGAACTTTTTTAAAGTTTGAGCATATTAATCTGGTAAACTTTGAGAACACAATTAAGAGGCTG